ATGCAGCGTAATAGCGTTTAGCGTTCTTCCCTGCATTATTTCGAACAGCGGCAGTGGGGGCCGGGCATTTTGGCCCGGCGTGTTTGTAATTTCAACAAGTTGGTTGTATGAAGGTGTAACGATCTTCCCGCGGAAAAAGGCGGGATTGGGTCAATCCTCCTCTCTTCCCTTCAGCTCAGACAGATATTCTTTCCTCAATTGATTTGTAATCACCCAATTTGAAGGAGAAGAAAGAGGTTCATTAGTAAAATAGACTGAATTCCTATTCCCTACAGGGTACAAAGCAGTCTGATACCATAGGTACCTAATTGTAGAGGTCCAAGTCCACATTTTAAATCTCTACTAGCCATGAAGCTTTGAACAGTTACCTAACTTTTCTATGCCCTTGTTACCTTCTGTACAAAGTAGGGACAATGACTTATCCCTAATCTACTCTGTGAGGCTCAAATGAGATGCCAGATGTGAAATCTCTTTGTCACTATAAAGCAGGTACAAAGGTGAGGCCCAGGAGACATCCAATTACCTGTCTCATGGCACACCTGTAGTTGCCTGGCTCTGTGTGACTTCAGTAAGATAAGCAAGGTGGACAGACAGTCTTGGTCTCCAAGTCTCCTTACACAACTTGCAGTCAATAAAGACAAGAACAAAGATGTGTCCCGAAAGAGAGATTTCCAGAGCCCAGGAGAGACCAAATAGAATTCATGTAAGAAATTGACATAAACAAATGAATACCAGAAGAAAGCCCAAGGTAAAGAGGGCTGAGCAGTCTTGAAGTATTAGCACTGGGAAGGACCTTGATAATAGTCTCTGTCTAACTTCAGAAATGAATAAATTATGACTTCTAAGAACAACTAGCATTTACTACTTTCTCACTATGTACTAGGCACTTTCACATGTTAACTTCTCACAAATGTCTGTGAAAGGGGTATTGTGCTCATTTTTCAGATAGAAACAAGAGAAAGTAATGCTCAAAAGGTAATAATGCTAAAAACAAGAGCAGCAACAAAAACAGCTAATAATCATTCAGACATAAGTATCTTACATACATTTATTTCTTCAATCATACTTATTAAGAAACTACTAAAATACTGGATAAGAGAGAACAAGGTCTCTGCTTTGATGGAATTTATAAACAAGCAATCAAATATAATGGGGTATTGTGGGGCAGAGTAACTATGAGGTTGAATCATGGATTGAGGGTTCAGGGAAAGCTTCTATGAGAATCTAACATTTGAGCTCCATCTGAGTAAAAAGACACCAGCCATCCACAGACCATCAGCTCATTTAAACCTTATAGCAACCCTATGAGAAAAGAATTATTATTATCTTCCCTAACAATAGTTCAACTTGAGGCCCAGAGACTTTTAAAAAAATTTCCCAAGGTTCACAGCAAAAAGAAGACTCATGATTTAAACCTAGGCAATCTGATCAGGAGGCCCTGGTCTTACATACAACCTTAGAGAGCCTCCTTGAAGTGATTAACTCAAGGTCACAGAGTTAGTAGTAGAATCAGCCCGTCCTGACTCCAAGGACAGACATCATCATATTCTGTCATGATGCCTCTGGTCCATCACAATGGACAAAAGCAACTAAGCATAGGAATAAGGGCAAGTCCATACAAAATGCATTTTCCAATATTAAAGCATAAGAAAAGCATCCAGGGCTGAGAGACAAACAGAACATGCAGATATATGAGCATGGTGTTTACAAGATAAATTATGCCCCAAATATAGTTGTTAAGAATACTGGCAGCAAACCCTGGGCCCATATGTCCTTGCCTGAGATGCCCCCTCCCAATCCAGTAGGACTTGCCTCAGATCCAAAGTCACAAGGAAGAGGCCATGTTTACCCTCAAAGACACCCATGGAAAAAAATACTGAAAAAAAGTATTCAGATCAAATGACACAAGATAAAAGACTACTGAAATCCTGTTCTCTCTGTTCTCATTTTATTATTTGTTTTATTTTTAGGATTTTTGAGGGTGAAATGACGACACCCAGAAATTCAATGAGTGGAGCTTTCCCAGCAGATCCTACGAAAGGCCCTATTGCCATGCAACCTGTTAAAAAAATAATTCCCAGGAAGGTATCTACTGTGGTTGGCCCCACACAAAGCTTCTTCATGAGGGAATCCAAAGCTTTGGGGGTGAGTCAGTTACCCTCTATTCCATATCCTAGGGATTCTCTGGCTTATAGAAGTAGATGCTGTAGACCAGGTACAGGATTCAATCCAATTTGAAGGTATCTGATCCAACCTGAGGTGTTCTTTATGTCTGAAACGGTGGGTCAAATCAAAGATGTACAGAGAAGTTATCACAGTAATCTTTTGATTTTGAGACTTACATATGATATCCCAGTTCATCACCAATATCCTAGGCATATCTGCCTTGGAAGTGACCCATTTTCTTCACCCAGGTGGTGAAGAAAATGAATCCAAACAAGACATAGGTCTTGGCATCTTCACCATTTCTTTTAGGCATTTTACACAGGCCCAAGCCAGGGCTTCCAGCCTTACCTTTGCTTTCTGACTTGAAGATGATTTAAATTCACTCACCAGTGCCCCTATTTTCTCCACAGGCTGTCCAGATTATGAATGGGCTCTTCCACATTGCTCTTGGTGGTCTTCTGATAATCCACCTGGAGGTCTATGTACCTATCTGTGTAACTGTGTGGTACCCTCTCTGGGGAGGCATTATGGTGAGTAAAAATTCACAACCATTTGGGGAGTGATGCAGACAAAAATTTTAAAAAGACTCCACAGGAATATACCAGATTAGTTCTGTGTTGAGGAAAGTTGAGTAGGAGATAGCTTGTCTGATTAAAGTAATTTGGTAGAAAGAAACGACTAAATTGAGTATGAATGCCATGGTTGAGAGTTAGTCATCATGCTTCATGTGAAGTCAGAGAAAGATATCCTACATGAATCTGCAAAAGGAAGGGTGTTCAAAGCATGACTTATCCAAAGTCAAGCTGGGCAGGCAAAGGAGCACTAGACATTTGGACTATATAACATGGTGTTTCGGAAAGCAAAAGGGGGTAGGGCCATCCCACTTCCAACTGGTCCTTCTTCCTTACAATTCTGTTTAGTTACTATTGCACACGGTGAAATTAGTCCCATCCCAAATGAATCTCCCGTAGCTTATCAGGAGAGCAGCATTCTTTATGGCTGTTTCATGTACATGTTTTTCAAGCTTGTAAGCCTGTCTGGGTGTGGTATGGGGCAGTGGTGTTTATATCGCCATTACATTTTAATAGTCGCTATGATAAAGATGAGCCCAAGATTTTCCAAACAAGGGGAGATAGATTAGAACAAGAATTTTCTCAATTTTTACAGCTTGAACAGTAGAAAAGGAAAATGAGAAATAATTATCAGTACTTCCTGTAGCAGCCAACATTTTAATGGGGTGCCTATGACATTCAGGCCAAATATTTCCTACATTGATTCACTCTTCATTAACATTAGTCATGTAAATTATTGGGAACTACTAAGAGCAAGTATACAAAAAATTTTTAAAAGAAAAACAAAACTTTTAAATTCACAGTCTGACTACTAATTGACATGGAAATGCAAATTCTGCCTCTTTGTGTTTTTTTAATTATTATTTTTTAACCCTCGCTGGAGGAGTGAAGATATTTTTTTCCATTGATTTTTAGAGACAGTGGAAGGGAGGGGGTGGAGGCAAGAGAGAGAGAGAGAGAAACATCAATGTGACAGACACCATGATTGGTTGCCACCCACACACACACCGGGATCAGGGGGCAGAGAATAGACCTGAAACCCAGTTACATGCCCTTGACCTGGGATCAAACCTGAGACCCTCTGGTGAGCAAGTCTACACTCAAACCACTGAGCCATGTTGGCCAAGGCATCTTTGGTTTAATTATATTCCTAGTCACAGCTCCTCAGTTAGTTGAATAAGAGGCATGGGTTGAATGTAGTTGAACTTGAATAAAGGGGAAATATGACCACTGAAAAATAAATGAATCCAATAAAAATGGCTAAGTAAATTAGTGAAAGTGTTTGAAAATGTGGATAGCTTTTTAAAAACCCAGTTCTCAATGTTAAAAAGTAATCACTCTCTCTGCTTCTCCCCGCCTCTGCCAATTCTCCCGTCTCCACACCCTTCCCCATCTACCACTTCTCTTTTCACAGTACATCATATCTGGATCACTCCTGGCAGCAGCCAAGACAAACTCCAGGAAAAGTTTGGCAAGTAATCATATGTTCTTCTCTCCCACACATCAGAGGCTTATTTGATTTCTCAGTTGAAAACAAGTACCCTTAAAGACCTTTGGAATCACAATAGCATTGAGTTCTCTCAACCCTTAAAAGCAAAAGATCCTCTACAATGTGATTGTGATTTTATTTAAGAAAAACTTGAAAATGAGATCTACCTGAAATGCATCCATGGAAACAATTTAAAGGCAGATGAAGAGCATGCTTATGATTTTATGACTGAGAAATGCTGTGTGAGACTAACAAATCTCCTTAAAAGTTATGTCGTTTCTCTCAGGCTGCCATTTAGGACAGCTATCTAATCAATGCTATGATTGACTCAAGTCCTAGTTGATGTTGAGCTGCAATTTTGAGCTCAGTTTATCTCCATGTACCTCTGAGTTTTCACCTGTAAAATGAAGATAACAGTACTTGCTACCACATGACATTGTCATTAGGATGAAATGGAGTAGTATAAAGGAAAGTGCTCCGGAGGCACTCTCACCCCGGAAGAGCTCCCATACTGTATGAGTCATGAGCTCACCAGAAGGTTTTCTCCCCCAATTTTTTTACACCTATTAAGCTATTGCTGACTTGAGTCACTTCCAAAGTCAGTGAGGGATTGAGTGAATGGAAATACTCTACTCTAGAGGTGGTCTGACAAACTCAGTTTGTGTGTGTGTGTGTGTGTGGGTGGGTGGGCGGGGGGGGGGGATGGAGAGACTTTTATGAAGGTCATGTTGTTTTATTCTCCAAATACAGCCAGTCCTACTGACTTGCCATCTGTAGATCATATAGTCATGGATGAAATATGTGTGTCGTAAAGTAATCATCAATAATTTTATATCTTTATGATACTGGTCACATATATTTTCCTGTTTTGACCTTTTATCATCCTTGCAAGTTAGAACGCTCCCACTGACATCCTCTTGCCTGTGCTACCAGAGACATCAGCCCTAAAAATGGCTGACTGCAATCGATGTCAGTAAGGAGAAAGTGGTGTTATTAATCTTGCTGTTCTTTCTTTTCACTTGATGGTCCAGACTCAGAAGGTTCTATCTGCTCTTTCCCTACATATACCCACTTTATTAGGTGGAAGAACCTTCTTTTTTTCTCTCCCTTCTACCTTCTTACACAGACAGATATGTTCTGAATACTATTTATTTTCATTTACCCAATAAATATTTATTAAATACCTACTAGGATGGTAACAATGGTAGCGACAGGAAGTGCAAGGGGACAATTTATAAGAATGAAGGATTATTCCTACAATTATTTCTGGATAAACTGATTGGATGGTGATGGCATAAAATGCGATAGGAAATACGGAGAAAGGAACAAAATTGAGAGATGAAGGTTTTTATTTTACAGTAACAGAAGACTAAAAACAACTGAGGGAAGTGTGGTATAGGATGATTTAGTAGTACCTCTGTGAGCCAGAGGAATGAGATCTGGAATACCTTCCTAGCTTAAATTCTCCAAATGGAAATCAAACCCAATTAATGACTCTTTATGTCTTCATTTCAGGTCAAAGGGAAAATGATAATGAACTCATTGAGCCTCTTTGCTGCCATTTCTGGGATAATTCTTTTGATCATGGACATATTTAATATTACAATTTCCAATTTTTTTAAAGTGGAGAGTCTGAACTTTATTAAGGCTTCTGTGCTACATATTAACATACACAACTGTGAATCAGCTAACCCCACTGAGAAAAACTCTTCATATGTACAATATTGTTACAGAATTCGAACCGTGTTCTTGGTAAGTATGAAATATGATTCCTTTTCAGAGAGGAAGTGTGGCATTTTTATTATGAGCATCAACTCTAGATCCAGACTGTCTGCATCTGGTGCTTATTGCCTCATGCCTTTGGGCAAGAATTTTAACCACATTCTGTCTCAGTTTTAATCATGAAATGGAGAAGATAACAGTACTTACTTACACCCCTGTTTTGAAGGATGAGTCAATATATGCAAAACATTTAGAACAGTGTCTGGTACACAGAAAGTGCTATGTATGTGTTTGTTTTAACATTAATATTGTTAATGGTATTTACATTTATTATTATTATTAAGATGAACATTGAAGAACTACCTAAGTTGTTATGAATAGCTTTTGCCTCAAGCAGTTTTTTGTTTTTAAATATATTTTTATTGATTTCAGAGAGGAAGAGAGAAAGATAGAAACATCAATGATGACAGAGAATCATTGATTGGCTGCCTCCTGCATGCCTCCTACTGAGGATCAAGCCCGCCACCCGGGCATGTGCCCTTGACCAGAATTGAACCCGGGACCCTTCAGTTCCCAGGCTGACACTCTAGCCACTGAGCCAAACCAGCTAGGGCTGCCTCAAGGAGTTTTTAGTGTAGAGTTTAAAGGGGGAAAGGTGCATATCCCAAATGTGAAGAGGTTTCCTTGGTGTGATACCACCTAAATAAAGCTGGATACAATTAATTTGTGACTCAGTAATTATTCTTTCCTATGTAGAATTGATTCTTCAACTAATTATTACTCACTTTCTATCAGCAACATGGATTAACTATTTTTTTGGTGTCAGAAGTTGTGCTAAGGCTTAGGGTTATAAAGATACTAGTAGTTCTTACAGATAGTCGTTACTCACCTAAAGAATTTGTTTTTTAATCACCTAATTTTAGTCAACAGTTATTTACTGAGCCCTTACCCTATTCTTATGTTTTTTATTATTACATTTCATCCTCATTTTTTCATTGTTTTACAGAGCCTTTTTGCAGTGATGCTGATCTTTGCCTTCTTCCAGAAACTTGTGACAGCTGGCACTGTTGAGAATGAATGGAAAAAACTGTGCTCCAGACCCAAAGCTGTAAGTAGTAGCCATTCTGTCCTCAACCTCCCTCTAGGAAAATAATGTCTTACAAAAAAAAAAAAAGAAAGAAAGAAAGAAAGAAAAAGAAAAAGGATCCTTTATATAGAGAATGTAATCCAATGAGACTTTGAGCCTGGGAGCTTCATGAAAAATGGCCTTGGCATATTACTGGGAAGCAGAAAATACCAATAATGATGGAATTGAAATTTGAAATAAATCTAAAGGTTAGACAGAGGAAACAGTTCTATAATATATGCACCCTCTTACTAACCTTGACTTCTGCTTGACTCAAGCATCCAACTTGATTCCATGTGTCATGTGTGCAGATGGTTGAAGGCTGATTAAAGACAATAGTTCTTCCACTTATTTTCTCAGTATTCCCTTCCTCCACCCACCACCTTTTCATCCATCTAATCCCTCTTCCAAAACAAGAGGTTCAAAGAAGCTCCACAACCAGGAAATATCTATTATTAACTGCTTCAGAACCATAGAATGTCAGATTTAGTACAGAACTTAGGAATCAGCACTAATTATTTCATTTTGCAGATGATAAAAGTAGGATTAGAGACCAAAAATTATTTTTCCAAAATTATCTCCAATAAAGGCAAATCAAAATGAAAATATAAATTCCTCTATTATATTGCAATGTTATTTCCCAAATATTGATCATTCTAGAAAAGAGGGAAAAAACTGTTGGCATTGAGGATGAATCTTGATAAGTGATTGGGTAAGAATATGAGCATCTAGGAAACCAATCCTGGCACTTGGAGGAACATGGGAAATAAAATGAATAGCATAAAAACAAGGAGTTATTTGATAAATATTCAAAGAGATTATTGAGAAATATGGCAATGATAAAAGTCAAGAAAAGTTTGTTGAATTTTGTATTCTAGGATGTAGTTCTTCTCCTGTCAGCTGAAGAAAAAAAAGAAAAGGCAATTGAAATAAAAGAAGATGTGGTAGAGCTGACTGAAATATCTGCCCAACCAAAAATTGAAGAAGACATTGAGATTATTCCAGTCCTAGAAGAAGAAGAAGAAGAAACAGAAGTAAACTTTCCAGAACCTCCCCAAGACCAGGAATCCTCACCAATAGAAGATGATAGTGTCCCTTAAAATATTTTTTTTGGGGGGGGTTTCTGTTTCCTTTTTCTAAGCATTAGTGTTCATAGCTTCCAAGAGACATATTCCCCCCATTTCTTGAGACTTGAGACACTCCACATATCTCTCTGGTCTTTGCATGGAGTGACCACAGCACATGCTCTCTCTCTCTCTCTCTCTCTCTCTCTCTCTCTCTCTCTCTCTCTCTCTCTCCCTCTCTCTCTCTCCCTCTCCTTTGCCTTGAATAAGTAGTAGCCATAGTAGTGTTTTAGTGTTGTTGTTTTTTTGTTTTGTTTTGTTTGTTTTCCATTTCTTCCCTTCTCAACAGGAAGATTCTGCACCTGATGAAAAAGATAAATGACTGCTGCATGTCATCCATAAACTATCTCTAATTCCTACCACATCTACATTTTGAGTACAGTCCCTTTGCACCACTGTTTTAAGGAAAATAAAAATAATAATAATGAGGTGCAATAAGGAGCCTGTTCCATCTATCTTTCTATGGGGCTGACACGGACGCACACTGAGCCTCCACAGCCCTTCAGGGAAGCTCTGAGAGACCATCACCCAATCCCTTCTTTGTATAAACAACACAGCTTATAAATGGCCATGTCTCTATCCGTCTTAACTTTCTCTAACCCCTGCCCTAGGCTCTTGGCTGCACTGTCTACCTACTTTTAGTCTTTAGGCAAGAGAAGAAAGAATGAAAGAAAAATACCAGCAGTAGCCATATCTCAAATAATAACCAACACTTGTATTTGTAGAATATTTTCTAGTCAACAAAATATTTTATCAAATAATTGCATTTGATCATCCCTGATAAAAAAGAATCCCTATCCCTATTTTACAAATGATTCAAAGAGGCTAAGTAATTTGTAAATAAGTAAAGGTAATTTACAGCTAATAATTTTGAGAGCCCTTTTCATTGCTAAATCTTCTTACTCAAATCCTGTAATGTTTGAAATAACCAAATTACCTATCCAATGCCCACATAAACTACTAGAGTTAAGTCAAAAGGTTTTATCAAGCACCTACTCTCTGACCAGCATGAAACAGGTATTGAGAGAGACACACAAAAGAGTCAGAAATCAAATTTTACCATGTGGGGGTAAAAAGACTTAGACATTCACAACCCTTTAAAAACTACTTACATCATTGATGTATAATTGGTTGTTAGATTACATAATGTAGATACTAAGTTATCAATGCTACAGACTAAGTGCTACAGACATTGTGAGAAAGAAGATCATGCTTGAAAAGTATATAAATAGTTACAATGCCTAATCTCAGGCAACAGCTATCCTACTTATTGATTCTTGTTCATATTCAGAGAAACTAGTACCCTATGAAGAAAGAATCTTAACCTAGAAGGCCACTATCATCTATCAACTACATTTGAGCATTTGCTACATGTTGAGTGCTGTCAGATTCTGGCAGGTGTATAGACAATGTAATTTCCACTCCCTGTGATATTTCCATTTTGCTAGGGGCCACCAATGGAAGATATTTCCTCTGATTAGAAAGAAAAAGGAGGTAGGCTATTTCTCGATGTAAAGTCCTTAAAATTAGCTTTAAATAAATAAAACTATATTTGTGTTCTTATCTGCAATAAATGATTCCAACATGGTATTTCCCCAAGTCTTCTTTATTCCTATAACATCAGACCATGTGAGTCTCCTAGCCTTAAGTTCATATTCACACAACCCTAATCTGGGTGTGAATTGTGAAGTATCAGGATATTGACTATTAATATCGGTATATTCTTACATATACACTTTCCCAAGGAAAATTTTCGTGGGACAGGTCATTAATAATGTGTTCCTCACTCTCAGCATCCTAGAATTTGACTGAATTATATGGCAGGCACTCCTGCATTGAACTAGAGGAAAGGGAAGAAGGCATGGCAATGCTAGACTCAATGAAAAAAAAAAAGAGAGAAAACCTTAAAAAAAAGACAATCTCTTATTTCTTATTTTCTCCACTTCTGAAATACATATGAGGTTCCCCTTCCAAATCCATGGTTTCCTTAAGAATTTATTTTATTCATTTTATGATCTCAAATAATTAGTTTTTACCCACCTCACATAACCACTTATAATATGAGACACTGTTAATGTCTACTGTTAAAGAAGAATGAATATCCTTGCTATGACCTTCTCCCCAATTATCCCTTGGACAATTTTTTTCATTATTGGGTGACTGACCACCCCAGATTGTTCAGGACTGAGAGGTTTCCTGGGATGCAGCACTTTCAGTGCTAAAACCCAGATAATCCAAAGCAAACCAGGGTGATTGATCACCCTTATTCATAGTAATACAGAATTTTACCCACTTATAATCACTGTATAATATAATCTGCTTTTATACTTACCATTTTCATAAATATTTTCCTTATTGATATATAATTTTCACAAGTATAATTTTTAGTTGCAAGTTAGCCCTCCATTAAATCAAGATAGAATTCATCATTCTTCTATAATTGGTTACTTAGGGTATTTCCATTTTTATTTTATTTTTTTGCAAATCACTTTTGGAGCTGCAGAAACCTTGAGAAAAAAACGTATTTCCTCTTCTCATTATTCAAAATGTGGTTTAACACTTCAAGCCTTGTCAAAGACTGTCAGAGGCCTAAATCTAAGAGCTAAAATTATAGAATTCTTAAAAGAAAACATGGTGCAAAGTTTGAAGTCTTGGATTAGGCAACGATGTTTTAGATATAACACCAAAATCATAAGCAAAGAAAGAATAAAATAAATTTAATATTATCAAAATTAAAAACCTTTGTGTGTCAAAAGGCACTATAAAGAAAGTAATAATAAAACCCATTGAAGGGGAGAAAATATTTGAACATTATGTATCTGATAATGGTCTAGTATTCAGAATGTATAAAGAAAGTTTACAGGTCAACAATAAAAAGACAAATAAGCCACTTAAAAAAACTTAGCAAAATTTTTGAATATATATTTCTAAAAATGTACAAATGGTCAATGAGCACATGAAAAATGCTCAAGTCACTAAGGAAATGTATATCAAAACCACAATGAGATACCACTTCACACTCAGGATGGCTAAAATAAAAAATAAAGTAATGACTGTTGGTGAGGATTTGAAGAAATTGGAATCTCACACACTGCTAGTGGTAATGTAAGATGCTATAGCTACTTTGAAAAATTGTCAGTTTCTCAAAAAGCTAAACATAAGTTACTATAAGACCCAGTAGCTTACTAGTAGGTATATATACTCAAGAAAATTGAAAATATAGGATCACACAGAATCTTTTCTACAAATGTTCATAGGAGCATTATCCATAATGGCCCAAAAGTAAAACAACCCAAAAGCGTATTGACTGATGAGTAGATAAATCAGTGTGGTATATCCATTCAGCCACCAAAAGGAATGATGAACTAGTACATGTCACAACTTGAAGACATCATGTTAAGTATAAGAGCCAGATACAAAAATCCATATAGTACATGATTCCATTGATATAAAATGACCATAGTAAGCAAATACATAGAAATAGAAAGTAGATTACCAGTTGCCAGAGGCTGGTGGGGTGGGAAGAAGAGTGGAGAGTGACTGCTAATTAATTCAGTTTTCCTTTGGGGGTGATGAAAATGTTCTGGATAGTTGCATAACATTGTAAATATATTAAAAAGATTTTAAAATAATGTATGTGAATTAAATTCCAATAAAAATATTTTAAAAAGAGAAAACCAGAGTTATAAGATAGCCAGGAAGGATTAAATAACAGTAAAACGCCCTAGTTCTTAGCACCAAATAATCTATCTACATATAAAAGCCAAGCAACCAGAACAACGAAATGACCGGTCGCTATGACATGCACTGTGGCAGCCAACTGGCCTGATCGTCCTCCCCCCACTCTCACCTCAATCAGGGCCAGCCGGACCCCACCCGTGCATGAATTTGTGCACTGGGACTCTAGTTGTTCAATAATATTATAGGATAGGAGTGAGCTCAATGAAGGCTAGAGTATTATGGGAAAATCTCATGGAATAGGGGGCATTTGAATTGAACCTTAGAGAATAGACATAAATTAAACAGTAAAAGAAAAAGGAAAGAATATTTCAGGTAAAGGCAGCAATACCTATATAGGACGAAAACAGAAACATTCTGCTTGTATTCAGGGGCACCAACAGAATAACCTGGATGAATCAGAGTGTAATCAGACTTAAAGCAGTAGAGAAAGTCTGGGACCACACTATGCAGGTTCTTCAATGCCTACAGCATCTGGTATGTATGTATGTATGTATGTATGTATGTATGTATGTATTCCTCTCCTGAGGATATTTTTGCATTGATTTTCAGAGAGAGTGGAAGAGAGAAGGAAAGACAGAGAGAAATATCAATGTGAGAGAAACACATCAATTGGTTGCCTCCTGCACACACCCTGACCAGACCATGGCCCAGGCCTGGGAGAAGCCTGCAACTGAGGTATGTGTCCTTAACTGGAATCAAACCTGGGACCCTTCTGTCCACAGGCCGACACTCTATCCACTGAACCAAACCAGCTAGGGCACATCTGGTCTTTAATACATAAACATCAGGGAATCAATGGAGGTGTCTGAGTAGGGAAGTAAAGCCTTTATAATTAACAGCCACAAACCACTTCATTTCAAGGTTTCAATTTCAAAACAAAAGAAAACATATTGAAAAAATGAGTAGAATATAAGTGAGACAGAAAGAGTAAACAAGAAACTGGACCTGAATTAAAGACTAGAAAGAAGAGGGTCATATTTTAGAGATATTTTGGGCTTAATGGATGTGAAGGGCTTTATAATATTTAAAGAAGGAAAAAGCAAGAAATCAAAGATATCTCTCAGTTTTGAGTTTGGATAATGGGGAGTGGGGCAGGAGAGGAAGCTGAGAAAGAAGCATGGGAACTGGATCATGAGCTCAGACATTTTTACACTGGATTTAAGATTCATTATGATGTGTATTACAGATATCTGGAAATGACAGTTTGAAAATCAGATTAGAGAACAGGATTGAAA